AGCGTTCACGTGCAGTCCCCACTGACTGGCCCCTGCTCTCGGCTCTTGCGAGTCAGTCCAAAGAGGACTCGCTGGGCTTTTACCTGCTCTGTGACCGAAGGGGTTTCTTCTGACTTAACGAATGAAAAAGAGCCTCTTTGGGGGGCTGAGCCCTTTCTGGAAGAATCCATGTGACTACTCAGGCATCCTTATTCTTCCCTGGGGGGCATCTTGCCAAGTTGTAGGTGTTTATGCCCCATGTGTGGGGCACCCCACGGCGATCAGGCATCTGAGTGAGGCTCGTAATGTCTACACTGCAGGAAAAGGGAGAACAAGACAGCCTTGGCTGGGTGTCCATGGCAGTCCGTGTCTGCCTGGAGTCGTTTGGGAACAGAGTAGGGAGGGCTGCGGAGCTTGGAGTGACACATGTTCCCGTTCTGGGCTGCTCACGGAGTTCTCGGGAGAAGGTCTTCGGGGGCCTGGCCGGGGGGCTCATTTGAGGCCGCTGAACTCAGTGTCAGAACCAGAGACAGGGGCCCAACCGGAAACCAGGGAGAGATTCGTCCAGAGCCTACAAATGTGGACAAATCCTGAGGGCTGACCACCCAGAAAGACCACAAGGGAGGTGTTGAAGGATGGCACCCAGGAACAGGTGACAGGTGACTCCTGAGGACCAGTGATCCACTCAGCGCACGGCGTGGATCCTCACAACACGGGCCATGGGCTAATTCCATGGGCTAGCCCATGACCTTTCAACCGACTCAGAGAACGGTCGGCACCATAATTAATGATCTCCTCAGGCTTGGTAGATTGCAATGCCCTTCTTGTCCTCTGAGCCTTATAAGGAGCTGTTTCTCTGAGCGTAAAGATATGAAATTCATGCTTGAGAGAATTATAGGAGGAAGACTAATGGCCTCCAATGAAACAAACAACGTACTTCTAAAGGACAATTCCTCTCGAGTTGCTCTACAATCTTCAAACTGCTTCAGGGTTTGAATTAGAATCCCTGTTTTGTTTCGGCTTTTGTTTGAACAGAGTGTCTGTGAAATGAAGGAGGGATGAAATGACATCTCAATTCCTGACATTTAGGGATCGTGTGATTTTCCATCTAATCTCTGAGCCTTATGTTTGTATGGTATCGATCACAGGATTAGAAACTACAGTATTAGCCTTAGCAGGTACGCATTTTTATACCATCAGCTGGAGTGAACTATACAGGTTTATTTAAAGGAGATGCATTTGCTCAAAGGCAATACATTCAACTTCTTCTTTCATTCAATTAAAAGATAAATGTCACGGCTTGCGTTCTTTCAAATTAGGCTTATTAACCTGCAGCCCATACTCTGAGTGCATACGAGAGTGCTGTCGAGATTTCCATTTTATTTAATATCACCGGGAGGAATACAAGTAATGAGATCACAATATTTCAGCCGACGGCATAGGAGCTGAGATTAGGCAAGCTTGCTGGGAATTAAAAACTAAATAGCAGCCCATGAATCACTCTTATTGGGGCACAAATCATGTATTTTCCATTTCCTATCTCAATCAAGTATTATACTTTTCAGGCATTCTTCTCTGAGGTTGAAATCACTGATCTAAAGGACTGAATGGCTGGAAAGCCCAGATTACCTCACTGCCTTTGATTGTCACCGTCTATCACTCTGCCTTTCTTGGTCACGGAAACGGTTTCCAAATAACGTCACGGGAGGTTCAGAATTTAACACCTTTCAGCACAGAGCTCTGCCACACTGACTACCCTGGACAGATACAGGTCGCTGTGCATTCCTTTCTGTGGAGTTTATATTTTTAATGGAGAACCCAATTTTGTGTGTCTTTCTGACAAATGAATTGAGCCTTCCTCCCACAGACCAGGCAGTATATCCAATGGCTTCCCATAAATCGTTTTGCTGAGCTCAGAGCCAAAGTTGAAGGAACAGGGGAAAGTTCAGGGAAACACACATTCGTTCTCCACCTCATTTGACAGCAAAAATTACTTCTCATGATACAGTGGCACCAGTATTCCCTTTAGATCAGCGTGACATGGAGTCATCCATTACAATAGCTCACTGCGGGGTACAGATGGTTTTCCACTGCTGTCCCTCGGCTGTTCCAGCTGGCGGAGGCTAACTGCAAATCACCTGGAAACGTGGATGAGCAGGACGGGAGTGACACAGACTTTAGATGATGACGGGAAAAGGGTGCAGGAGCAGGAGTCAGGGCCCCTAAGAGAGGCCCCTTGTTGCCACTAACCCAGCATCAGGTGACGCTGGGCAAGCCCCTCAACATAAGTGAAGACAAGATCATCTCTTATCAAATCCCCTTCTCTCGCTGCCCAAGAAGATTGCCTGGGCCCTGTTTTCATGGAATGGATGAGGGATGGATGGATGGATGGATGGAGGGATGGATGGATGACGGATGGATGGATGGATGGATGGAGGGATGGAGGGATGGATGGAGGGATGGATGATGGATGAAAGATGGATAGATGGATGGATGGATGGATGGATGATGGATGGATGGATGGATGGATGACGGATGGATGGATGGATGGATGGATGGAGGGATGGAGGGATGGATGGAGGGATGGATGATGGATGAA